TTTTTAGGATCCCGATGAAGTCCACCGTTGGGAAGCTGTTGAACAACAAGAGAGAAAATCCCAATAAAACCCATGGAAGGTATGGAGCAGTAAAAACAAACAGGCCCAAAAAACTGACGAGAACATCTGGGTTCTTTTGTGACCACAGGTATACCAGCATAAATGTCAGGGGAGAGCCTAAAAAGATAAGGCCGGTCACAGGGCCTATAATCTACGTTGTTACTTGCACAGATAATGCATACCAATAGCAAAAGAATTCCGAACAGCAACAAGAAGAAAAAGTCGCTTTTTCTTGCTCGATAGGTGTTTTCTTCAAGATTTTTAAAATATCTCATCCTAGGGTTAGGATATGCAGGCATTAATACATAAAGAACATGTGGAAAAGAAAGTCCACCCCAAAGCTGCCAAAATAACAAAACGTTGAAACGAGTCTCCAGAGCTAATGATCAAACAGTTAGAGAGATAAAAATGGTACTTGTAGATTTAGGAAGGTAACCGATGGGTGATAGTACACATCAAGGGGCGTTATAAAGCGCAGTTGCTATTTTAATAAATCATGTAGCACTTACAAGTGAAACGGCTATAGCCAAGCATGTCAAACTATAGACTTTGGTAATCGGGGGAACATCTCTGAACCATTGCTCAAAGGGGTTAACCATGAGGCGAATTAAAATTAAAAATCAATTTTTCATGCGTTTGCATTGTATCAAAAGGGCGTTTTCAAACCACATTGAGCACGCGTCAAAAAGCTTTATCGAGTCCCTGAAACTTTCAAACTTACATCACCAAACATCTGCTCCCTTAGAGGTGTTGGAATGTAACGTCAAAGGCGTATATCTTGGAATTGATCCCACTGCACCATACTTGCATGTGGGCCATCTTCCCTGTATTTTGACTTTGGCCAGGGCCTCAAATGCTGGTATTCCGTCGTTCGCGATTCTTGGTGGCTCCACTGCGCTCGTTGGAGATCCGTCCTTTACCATTACTTCACGGCCTGTTCTTTCTCAAGGCAGCTTCAAAAACAATATGCAGTCAATTAAAACCCAGCTGAGTTATGTGTTCTCAAAATTGACCCCTCCAAATGGCGGCCCCACAATTCTTGACAATTCCGAATGGCTTTCGAAAGTTGGATTGATTAGCTTTTTGAAAGACTTTGGTAGGCATGTCAGAATCTCAGATCTTTTGACTAAGGAAAGGTTGGGGGCTTTGGTGTAACAAGTTATTTCTAGTGTTTCGTCAAGAATAAAAGCCAAGAACGACGGCTGTACTTTTCAGGAGTTTTCATATGCCCTTTTACAGGCGTATGATTTCTATTACCTCTTTCATAAGTATAGCGTCAATCTCCAAGTACTGCATCCATTTATTATTGGTAGATTGGCGGAAGCGATCAATGGGGGAATATGATTTCCGGTCTTGACTTTATTTCCAAAGCAGAATCAGAAAATGCGGATTTAAATGCCACCTCACCCAGGGCATATGCCTTAACCCTCCCTCTTATTACAACGAGCAAGGGAAGTAAATTAGGAAAATCTGCCGGAAATGCTACCTGGCTTTGGGGCCCGCATTGTTCTGCCTATGATATTCTGCAGGTATTTTTTGAAGCTAATATGCAGTTTTTCATCAGATGCCCAGACTCGCTTTTGTCCACATGGATAAGGCAATTTACTCTTCTATCTTGCGCGGAAATTAAGCATATCCTTGCCAGACATAACGTAAAATGTTCGCGCTGATCGCCTAGGATGAGCCCCATTTATACATTGCTCACAAAGAAATCGCTAAATGGGTCATTGATCTGGTCTGTGGAGGTGATTTGTGTAAATTGATTGTAGATGACCACTATCAAAGGGCACTTGAAGCATCTTCTTTCGTTTTTGGCGAGGAAAAGCCTGTTGACGCGGAAAAGCTAGTTTCACTATTTAAAAGTGATAATAAGCGATTTTTTGAAGTTTCTAAGAGCCAAATGAAAACCTACGATGACCTTTTGCAAAAGCTTCTTGATTCTAGAGCCGAAAATTTTGGTATGCAATGCGATTTTATCAAATAGAACAGATTCGATATGTGAAAGACAGAAACTCCCTTCTTTGTAATAAAGACCCGATCAAAAACACACAAGACGCAATTGCTTGGGAGGGCACAGCGTCGAATAGCATTGCCTTGGTTTGCGTCGGCAAATCCAGTCCGTATCTTTTAAATTACGGGATTGATCCGGTCCGTATCTTTTAAATTACAGGATTGAACAAAATTAAGAAAAAATTATTTATTAATTTAACCAATGGATCCTCTCGTTTGTTCTTTGCAAGAATTCTCCCTCATCAGCGCGGAAATCAAAAAGAGAAGGGCCAAAATCGTATCTTAACTGACCAAATAAATATAGGTGTCCCTACAATTTCCAGACCATCTACTCCATCTATCGGCCGCTTTTCATGCCTTCATTAGTGAACAAATCCCGAACGTGGAGTTTTTTATTTTGGCAGATACATCTTATGGAAGCTGTTGTGTCGATGAGGTGGCGGCAGAACATATTAGAAGTGAGCTGGTTATCCACTTTGGACACACGTGTCTGTCGAATACATCAAGATTGCCCGTGATTTATGCCTTTGGAGAAACAGAGTTTAATGTCAACGATTGTTTTTCTTACTTTTCGACCTTATTATCACATGAGGGAGGCGGCGATGGTGCAAAGAAAATCTTGATCCTATCAGATGTAAAGTACCTGTACTTTCAAGGTAGGCATTTTACTTTATTTTGTTTAGATGCCATTCATGGCTTGTTGAGTAGCAACATGTGTGCTGATACAAGCTTTCATTATGGGGAAGTGGAAAAGGTCTTCAACCCAACCTCCCTATTGAATGAAAATTCTCCTCGGTCTACTCTTTTGAATAGACGAATCATCCCCGAGGTAGACCTGTTTTGCGAACACTTTCCTTTCTCGAAGATCTTTTTTATCGGGGACGAAGATTCGTCCTTTTTGATTACGTTAATGATGACGATCAAGGGAAAAGCAGGCATTTACTCATACTCGCCAAAATTAAACAGAGGTCGAGAAGAAGGCTTTCGCGTAAATGTGTCCCTTTCCAAAAGGTTCCATTTATCATCTAACTCGTAAGATACTCAAAAGTCCAGCACGCAATAGGTGCTTCGTTTGTTGGAATATTAGTGGGCACGCTTGGTGTTTGTAAAATCATCGTTTATTATTGCATAGCAAAATACCTATCTGTCATCGGAGAGCTACAAAGTCTGATACTTAGGGCAGGCAAAAAGCCATATACCATATCCGTGGGCAAGCTCAATGTGGCAAAGTTGGCCAACTTTTTGGACATCGATGTATTCGTTTTGGTGGCTTGTCCGGAAACCACTGCACTTATCGATGGGAGGGAATTTTTAAAACCCATCATCAGTCCTTATGAATTTGGGCTTTCCGTTGGCCATTTGATGGAAAAGGATCCGGTTTCTCTTTTTACATCGTGGACCGCCGATTTCCAGTCGTTTTTACGGGAACAAAAAGAATCGCATAAATTCGATGAAATCAAAGTGGAACATCAAGAGATTCCCGAACCCGCGCGGAAAACAACAAAGCCCACGGCCAATATTCTTCGAATAGAATATGATTGGGAACAATCGCCTTCCGTGCAAAGGCTCCATGAAAAAAACTTTCAGGGATTGAAGCCTCTCACAGAGGATGAGTCTATCAAGAATCGGACAATTGTACAAGGCTCGTTCGGAACAGCTATGGCGTATTCTTCCGAGAAAGGCCTGTGACGATCCCCCTATGGCCCTTATTTTGGATGCGGAATATCAAAGTTGCAGGCTTGTGTTTTATCGAAGCGCCACATTGTGCAGTAAAACGTCCTGTTTTCTAGCATTGTCTAAATAATTTTATTTGAATATCATTTTAAACTCCGATTATCGCATAAAGAAATAGAGACCCAACGAACGAAACGACCGCAAAGGAGTGGCTAAAATATGACGAATCCATGGAGTCGATTTCCCCATCAGTCGAAGTGGTTTTGGTGCTGTTGGTGCTGGTGGCGGTTTTTGTCTTTGTAGAATTAGTTATGGTCCAAGAAGTGAATTGGCTAATGCTTGCATAGTACGAATCATCGAAAATTCTGTAATCTGGCTCGTTTGTGGGCTCTATTTTTACGAATCCATCTTTGGGTGTATTTCCACCTTGATTTTCTGTGTAAACTACACCAGGCTGAACGGGTGTTGTTTCCATTGTACCGGTTCCTACAGAACCAGTATTTTCAACCATTCCATTAGGAGCGTCAGCATTAGCAGTCTGAGTATTCGCAGCGTCAGCATTAGCATTCTGAGTATTCGCAGCGTCAGCATTAGCATTCTGAGGATTCGCAGCATCAGCATTAGCAGTCTGAGGATTGGCAGCATCAGCATTAGCAGTCTGAGGATTGGCAGCATCAGCATTAGCAGTCTGAGGATTCGCAGCGTCAGCATTAGCATTCTGAGGATTCGCAGCGTCAGAAACAGACTGCACATTTCCATCTGCAACGACCATTCCTGAATTGGCAACCTCTATATTGGCTGTGAAATCTACATAAACGGTTACATATACGCTGGATACCTGCTGTGGCTTGGTCTGCATTTCCAGGAGCGTCATTTTCGGCGAATACTGGTTCATTACACATGCCGGCTTGAATAAATTCTGCTAACTCTTCCATTGTGGAGCATGGACGTCGACGACGAGATCTGCCGCGACCGTTTCTATTGATCTCTCGCGTCACATTTTTAGGAATGAATTTTTGGTCGATGGCCCATTTTACAATATTCCTGTCCAGACCTAAGCCCGGAATGCTCATTCCTTTTTCATATGGATCTCCAGTAGAAACCAGTGTTCTTAATACATAAAACGGTACTTGTTCTGCTACCGTTATGGTAAGTGTATCTTGGCATTTGGCAGGAAGACAATATGCTAGTGCAATGACTAATGTACACAAACAGGTTTGCTTCAATAACAACATGCAGACTCGGGCATTCTTTTGGCTTTAAAGGGCTCGGCGTTTGCGCGAGTGATTGTGTCCCTGGCAACTAACAAGTTACACTTAAAATAATAGAGAAATTTATAATTTACCGCCACTTTGGATTCGTTAGCCGATACAACGTACTTTGTTTACAAGCGTACAATCCTAAAGTGCTATATGCTACTGCTGGTCTTTTTGATTGGATTATACTTTTTCGCATCTTGTATCGTTTTCGCCATATATTGTCCGACGGGAAGTGACGAGGCCATTAAATATATTTCTCTGTTTTACCTATTTGAATACTATGATATCAACGTTTTGTTCAAAAAATTTGGCTTTGCCATTCTGGTGCTGTTTGTGATAACATTCACGCTTTTGAGATCGCTGCTTCCTCATCCTTCGTTTTCTAAGATTCCAACGATCACCTCAAAAATGCTTATTCGGCTGGGCTTGATCCTGTTAACCTTTACCTTCTGGTATGGCCTTATCATTCAAATTGCAAAGCCGTTCTTTAAACGCTCATATTATGGCATTAATATTTCGGGCCATTGTTTTTTACTCATATGGACTTTATTGAGCATCCCAAATTGTATATCCCTTTTATCATGTCATGTGA